AATTACAGCAATTTGTTGTTTCCGGTGTTAGGAGTGAGCCAGTGATCATATCTCTGTTAGGGCAGTGATCTGTATACCTTCTGACTGTCTAGATAACTAAAGAGTAAAAAGAGCTTGTTAAAAAGCACAAGAGACGAGAGTATATCCTGAGATATTCAGTGAGCCAAACAATATCAATTTTAGAAATGTGGCGGCGCCGCGCTCGTCCGCTTTTCGGTACCGGCACACCGGGTTCTAGTCCCGGTCGGGGCGCCGGATTCTGTCCCGGTTGCCCCTCTTCCAGGCCAGCCCTCTGCTGTGGCCAGGGAGTGCAGTGGAGGATGGCCCAGGTGCTTGGGCCCTGCACCCCATGGGAGACCAGGAAAGGCACCTGGCTCCTGGCTCCTGCCATCGGATCAGCGCAGTGCACCGGCCGCAGCGCGCCGGCCATTGGAGGGTGAACCAACGGCAAAGGAAGACCTTTCTCTCTGTCTCTCTCTCTCACTGTCCACTCTGCCTGTCAAAAAAAAAAAAAAAAAATTTTTAGAAATGTAATATTTTTTATTTAAACAGCCTGTAGAAGGTGTTTATTCTTGAGTGTTCTCCCAGAAAATCGGAAAATTAGTCTTGAGTCTTCTTTTGACGGGAGGGAGGCCAGAGGGCTGGTGGCGAGCACCATCAGTCCGGCCCACCCTTTTCTCTCTGGATCCAGTTCAGCAGCCGAGCGGACTGAGCGGCTTGATCTGGCCCTTCAGCCTGGCAGTTCCTCGTGACACCCTGCGATGGCCAATGGAGAGCAGCCTTCCTCTGCACAGGACATGTGATTGTTGCAACATCTTTCCCCCTTGGATTGCCAGCGGACCTTGTCAAAAACCAACTGACTGCAAGTCGCTTCTTGCTGTATTGGAAGTTTTGTTCTGTTTCTCTTCATATGACCCTTATATCACACTCTCTTCCTTACTGTGGCTTTAGATTTTCAGATCACGTAGCATAGGTTCTCTAAATTTGACCTTGTTTCTCAAGATTGTTTTTGGCCATCTTGGGTTCTTTGTAATTTCCATTTAATTTTACATTTTAGGATTGGCTTGCCAATTTTGAAAAAATATGCCTGTGGAAAGTTGAATCAGAGTGCTTTGAATTCATGTATCAGTACTGCCATGTTGATCACAGTGAACCTTCCAGACTATGAACGTGCAATGTCTCTCCATGTATTTCAATCTTCTAGCATTTCTCTTAGTAATGTTTATATTTTCCATGTATAAAATTTTATTTTCCAGTGCATAAAATCTTCCACTTTATTTGTGAAACCTATTCCTAAGCATTTTATTAGTTTTATTATATTGAAAATGTAATTATTTTCTTATTTTCATTTTCATATCCTTTTGTGCTAGAGGAAAGCCAGTGATAGTTGTGTATTGATTTCGAATCATGTGATTATGCTCAATGTATTAGCACTAATAACTTTTGGTGGGTTTCCTAGGATTTTCTACACAGAGAAGAATGCTGCTCCGAAATCAAGACAGTTTTATTTCTTCCTTTTGAATCTGGAGGCTTGTTGTTTTCTTTTTCTTGCTAGGGTCTGCTGGCTGGAATCTAGGAAATTGCCAAAGAGGAGAGAGCAAAGATTTTTGCTTCATTCAGTCTCGGGGGAAAAGCCTTCAGCATTTCTTCATTAAGAAGGATGTTGGCTGTAGGTTTTCCATAGATACTTTTAAAATAATTTATTTTATTTGAAATGTAGAGAGAAAGAGAGAGACAGAGACAGAGAGAGCTCCCATCTCTAGTTCACTCCCCAAATGCCCACAACAGCTAAGGCAGGGCCAGGCCAAAGCCCGGAGCTGGGGGCTCAACCTGCGTCTCCCACGTGCGTGGCAGAAGCTCACCCCTTGAGCCATCACACTGCCTCCAGGTTGTGCATTAGCTGAAAGATGGAACCAAGAGCAGAGCTGGGACTTGAACCCACACACTCCTAGATGGGTTGTAGGTGTTCTGAGTGGCTTGCTAATCACTACCCCAAGCACTCCCCCCAACAAAGATTCTTAGAAGTGAAAGAGGGAGAAGAGACCCGAGTGCTGTGTTGTACAGAGCACCTGACCCCCCACCGATTGCTGTGAAGATGGGGGAAGGAAGGTGTTCCTGAGCCAAGGCAAGCTTCCTCTAGAAGTGGAGAAACCAAGGAGACACACTGCCCCCTGGAGACTTCAAGAGAGAGTGCAGGTATGCCGACACCTCACCTTTCCCCCACTGAGGCTCAGACCCAGCATTAGGCTGTGCTTTATAGAACTGTAGGATAGGCGCTGTGCACTGTGGTGTGGCGTTGTGGCATAGTGGCAGTGGGCAAAGCTGCTTCCTGTGAATCTCCCATCCTCCGGGCGCTGGTTCCAGTCCTGGCTGTTCCACTTCCAATCCAGCTTCTTGCTGCTGTGCCTGGAGGAAGCGGTGGAAGGTGACCCAAGTCCTTGGGCCCTGAACCCACATGGGAGACCTGGGTAAAGCTCCTGGCTTCGGCTGGCCCAGCCCTCCCCACTGCACCTGGGGAGTGAAGAGCAGATGCAAGATTCAAGATTCTCTTTCTCTCTGTACCTTGCCTCTCTTTCTCTGTAACTCTTACTTTCAAAGACACAGACCAATCTTAGAAAACAGAACTGTAGGATAATAAATGTGTTGTTTTAAGGCCATACATTTGAGGGAATGGCAGCAATAGAAGACGAGTATGTGAAATTATCACATTTTCTTTCTCCTTGAGTCACTTTGGCTGTCTTTCGAGTAATTTGTCCATTACACCATGATTGTCTGGTTTGTTGGCATAAAGTTGTTCACAGTGTTCCCTAACAATGCTTTCACTTGCTGTCAATAGTGATGTCCCCTCTGTCTCCCTGTGTGGCTCTCGCTCTCTCGGCCTTGGCCAGCGCATCTAAAGATTTCCCAGTTTTGTTGATCTTTCAAAGAACTACATTGGCTTGACTTTTTTTTTCCCTATTTTTCTATTTCGTTGACTTCTAGTCCACTTATTTATTTCAATCCTGCTTGTTTTAGGTGTAGTCTTTTTTTGTTTGTTTGTTTCTTAAGGTGGTAGCCCTGGTTGTTAATTTGGCCTCTTTGTCCTGTTATAGGTATTTCTTTCTTTTCTTTTTTAAGGTTTATTTATTTATTTGAAAGGCAGCATTACAGAGAGGTGGAGGCAGAGAGAGAGAGGTCTTCCATCTGCTGGTTCACTCCCCAGTTAGCTGCAATGGCTGGAGCTGCACCGATCCGAAGCCAAGAGCCAGGAGCTTCTTCTGGGTCTCCCACGCAGGTGCAGGGGCCCAAGCACTTGGGCCATCTTCTACTGCTTTCCCAGGCCATAGCAGAGAGCAAGATCGGAAGTGAAGCAGTGGGGACACGAACCAGTGCCCATATGGGATGCTAGCACTGTAGGTGGTGGCTTTACCCACTATGCCACAGCACCAGCCCCTGTAGTCCTTTTAATCTCTAAGTTTGCCTCTACCTGCTGCTTTAGCTACATCCCAAAAATCTTCATATGTTGAGTTTTTATTACTATGCAAGTCAACATATTTTATAGTATCCTTGATTTCTTCTTTAAATTTTTTTAAAAATTTATTTGAAAGGCAGAGAGAGAGAGAGAAACTTCCATTTGCTTGTTTACTCCCCAGATGACTGAACCAGTGATAGGCCAGTCAGGAGCCAGGAACTCCCATCTGGGCCTCCCACATGGATGGCAGGAACCTAAGACCTTGGGCCATCATCCATTGCCTCCCCAGGGATATTACAGGAAGCTGCATCAGAAGTGGAGGACCCAGAATTCAAACCAGCACTCTAATATGGGTTGCAAGCCTGCAAGTGGTGTCTTAACCCACTGTGCCACAATGCAGCTTCCTTTTCTTTATGTGGATCTGATATATCATCTGGTGTTACTTAATTCCTACCTGAAGAACTTAATTTTCTTAAATACTGCACTTTTTGGAGGATAACTCTTTAAAATCAATTTTCATATCATAGAATTTTACATAAATGAAGTGGCACTCCAGGGTCTGCTTTTTCTGGATTCTTCCACACAATATAGTTATTTTTGAAAACTAAAAGTTTGCATCTAAGTAATATTATCTCTTACCTCTATTTTGCAAGAAGTTGTTAATTACCTTCATATCTGATTTTTTGAACTAACTGAAATGTTCTTTTTCATAGACTATTTCAGTCTCAGAAAAACCATTAAGAAAGGACAGCTCTAAAATGGTTATTCTTTTTTAAAAAATATTTATTTGAAAGGTGGCATTACAGAAAGAGGGAGCAACAGAGAGACATCTTCTATCTGCTGTTTTACTCCACAAATGGCTGCAGTGGTGGGTGCTGGACCAGCCAGCAGGCTAATACTCGATCCGAGTCTGCAACAAGGGTGGCAGTGGCCCCAGCATTTGGGGGCCATCTTCTGCTGCCTTTGCAGTGCACTGGCCAGGAGCTGAACTGGAACAGAGCAGCCAGGACTTGAATTGGTGCTCTGATACAGGACGCTGGCATCCCAAGGGTGGGCTTATTCTGCTGCACCACAACACTGGCTCCTAAATTCAAGAAATTTTTACAGTCATGACTACATTGGTTCAAACTGAAAACAGGTACCACTCTGCTAAGGAATACCCTTTGCCTGTGCAGGCTAAGTGGGACAGACCCTACTTGTCTCATGAATGGGGTTCTGTGACACAGACCTGGCCCACTGGGGCTTTGCTTGGGTTCTGTGAGTTGGGGTTCCCAGCTTTAGAGATAAGACATCCACCACTCCATACACTTTCACAGAAAACTTTTCCCAATTTTTTTCTTTGGTTTCAATTTTCGTGTTGGGTGACTACTTAGTAACAGAAGGTACAGATGCAGTCATTTTGCTGGGTTTCCTTGCAGAGGATGGTTAACAGTTTCATTGCCTCTGTAGTTTTCAAAGTGGAAATATTTTTACTGCTTTTAGGAACTGAAAAATACATCAGTGTTCTTACAAAGTATTCACATAGTACAAAAACACACAAAATATACAGCCTTATAACCACCTACAGCAGTATATGTATAGGAAGGCTTCAGACACAAATATAATACATGAAATTAAAACTATTTACAGTTATAAAACCACCAAAAATAGGAATTTAATGAACATTTTTTAAAAAGATAATTTATTTGAAAGGCAGTGTTAATTGAGAAAAGTCTTGCATGTGGTGGTTCACTTCCCAGATGGCTGTAACAGCTGGGGCCGGGCCGGATTGAAGACAGGAGCTGAGAGATTCTTCTGAGTCTCTCATGTGGGTGCTCTGCTGGTTTCCCAGGCACACTAGCAGGGAGCTGATGAGAAATGGAGCAGCTGACACTTGAACTGGCATCCGAATGGGTTACTGGCATTGTAGGTAGTGGCTTAGCCTGCTATGCCTCAGCGCTGGCCCCAAAGTATCCACATGGTCACAACAGGAGGATTAAGAGAAGTTGCAAGGAGTCCATGAGATTGAAAATTCTCCTCCCCCCTTTACAAATTAAATGACAGAAGTAAGTACTTCACTTAGCAGTATGTCATACGTATCCTAAGACACAGCTAGGGAGTTTGCAAGTAGCTGCTCTCAGACAGTACAGTCTGGTGCTATACCGGCATGCAGGAGTAACTGCTTTGATGACACGCTTTTCTTTTTGAGGTCAAATACATTACTGAGGAGTCTGACAGGATGGGGAACTTGAAGACGCTTGGAGCTTACTGAAATCCAAATTGCTCAGCTGGATCTTCCTATCATTGTCAGTCCTCAAAACACTGGTGACAAACCTTCTACAGCTACTTTACTACTGTACAGGTATTCACCACCTATCCAGATTGAGATAAAGAAAAAAGAAATAAGATGACAGGGCTGCTGTGTGGTGTAGTGGGTAAAGCTACCACCTGTCATGCCAGTATCCCTAACAGGTGCCAGTTTGAGTCCTGGCTGCTCTACTTCTGCTCCAGTTCCCTGCTAACGGCCTAGGAAAGCAACAGAGGATGGCCCAAGTCCTTGGGTCCCTGCACCCATGTGGGAGACCGGAAAGAAGTGGGTTGCGGCCATTTGGGGAGTGAACCAGCAATGGAAGATCTCTCTCTCTCTATGCCTCTTCCTCTATCTGTGTAACTCTGCCTTTCAAATAAATACATTAAAAAATGATGAAACACCTCTATTTACAGACAAAATTCTTTTGAAAAAGTTTATTAACATTTTATGAAGCATTTGTTTTGAAGACTAAGTTTTGAAAGCCGTGTAAACCAATCAAACACGAGTAAAGTTTTGGAATGAACATCTCAAATCATTTTAATACCTTTTTCTCATGGGATGACAACAGCATTATAATACTTTCTTATTTTTTATTAACATTAGCTCTTTTCAGATTAGTAGTAGCAAGTTCTGATTTTTAGTATAGGTTGTGTATCTCTTATTTGAAACACTTGGGGCCAGAAGTATTTTGTTTTCTGGGTTTTTCTGAATTTTCTAGTAGTTGCACAGCATAATGAGCTACCACAGGGATGGGAAGGGCCCAAGCCTGAACAGGAACTTCACTAGGTTTTGTCAAGCTTTATGTACACAGCCTGAAGGCAGCAGGACACAGGGTGTGTAACACTGTCACGCTGTCCTGCCTGAGACACTGTGTCGGCACTGACAAGGCTTCAGACTGTGCAGTGCTCAGCAGTTCAGATTAGGGATGCTCAAACTGTACTGTGCGAAGGCAAGAGAGAAACATAATACTTTCCATTTATTTTTAAATTTCCTATGAACTACTTTCTAGTAAAAAACTGTTTGGTATTAAGTGTTTTTATCTCAAATTCTAAAAGTAACCATGGCCCTCAGCTGAACTGTACGCTCCCGGGCTTTTCCATCTTAGGGACATTTACACAGTAAATGCCATTTCAGTCACTGAGCTCTTCCTCATCACTGAAATAGGTGCTTTTCTTTATCCTCGGCCGTCTTGAGTCATCGGATGTGGAGGGACCCCCTGGACCGGGTCTCCATTTTCTTTGTTCTTCTTCAATTTTGGCTTGCTGGAAGGCAATTCAGAAAACAAAACAAAATCAGCAAAATGTTAGATGTTACTTATGGTGCATTAATCCAGAACACGGCCACCGCACATCACAAATACCAACACTTCCTGCCCTCCCAGGCCTTGCAGACAGTAAGATATCCCTCTTGCCAAGTTCTGACCCAATCGCAATGTTAACTCAAAATTATTCTGGACAGTTTCTAAACTGTATTTTTGGTGGGCCTAAACTCATTTCAATCAAATAGTTCTGTTCAAATCCTTAATGAAAACAGACTTAGATACTGAAAGAGTTGTGGGCCCTCAACACCTGGGGGAACCCGTGGGAGCTTTCATTCACGCTGCTCTGGACTGCAGAGAAAGACCCTGTCGCCTACAGGTTAGCAGGTGAGGGAAAGACAGAGGTTGCCTGTGCAGACAGTCAGGGAAGCAGGCAAGGAAACAGCAGCACCGCATGGCTGCAGCCCAGGAGCCTGGCAAAGAGCAGCTCAGTACCTGGAAGGCTATGGCCTGGCTGAGGCTGTCCAGGGCAGGGTCTTCACCTTCATCTTCACTTTCTTCTACTTCCTCACTGAGGGATTGAAGCAGTGTCAGAATGCAGTCACCCAATGGGAAAGACAGAACTAACACAAAGTCGGGTTTACTAAAGCAGTTATACATACATTTCTTCTTCTGGTTCAGGAACTTTCTTTTTTTTCTTCTTTTCCTTCTTCTTTGGAGGTTCCCGTTCTCCAAGCATATTTTTAGGACAGGCATAACTTAAGTGTCCACTTTCCTTTTGTTTCATATTAAAAAGGAAAGGAAAAATACATTTGTTGCCATTAACAGAAACCTTCTACCCCCTTATGACTAAAAGGTTTTAGAAATAAAAAGTTTACTCCCACATGAAGGATGTTAATGATTAAAAAGCCATTGCTGGGGCTGGCGCCGGTTCAAGTCCCGCCTGCTCCACTTTTGATCCAGCTCTCTGCTATGGCCTGGGAAAGTATAAGACAGCTGAAGTCCTTGGGCCCCTGCACCTGCGTGGGAGACCCAGAAGCTGCTCCTGGCTCCTGCCTTCTGATTGGCGCAGCTCCAGCCATTGCAGCCAATTGGGGAGTGAACCAGTGGATGGAAGACCTCTTTCTCTCTGACTTTCAAATCAATCAGTCAATCAACCTTTTAAAAAATCCATTACTGTAATATTTAGAAGGAAGAGTCTATATGCTATTTTAACTCCCAACAAGCTACTCTAACAACTAGGGAATATTTTGTTAGTTTTACTGAAAAGTATTCTTCACTCAAACATTTTAAATCCTGACTCAAGACGTAAAACAATTCAAATTAAATGGATCATCTACCCTAACTGTACAAACTTTAAGTTACTATTTCATAAAGTGGGGATAAGAGTATTCCTTTAAGTGTAAACAAGATACTGTTTAAAAAACAAATAGGTGGGCAGTGTTCTATATAGGCAGCGGTTACTGTCCCCTACCAGTACAGCTCCCTGCTAATGGCCTGGGAAAGGCAGCAGAAGGTACTGGGCCCTTTTCACCCACGTGGGAAACCTAGAAGCAGCTCCCAGGCTCCAGCCTGGCCCAGCTGTGGCTGTCACAGCTATCTGGGGTGTGAATCAGAGAATGGAAGATCTCTCTCTCAATATATGTAACTCTGACTTTCAAACGAACAAATTTTTTTTAAAAGGAAACTTCTGTCTTCCTCAATTTTTCTATTATTTTATTTTGCTCTATTGTATCTTAAACTACATCTGCACTGTCCAATTAGAGTGGTCACTGGCCACACACAGCAACTGGTTACTTATCTGAATGGAAAGATACATGAATGTAAACTACACATGGAATTTTAAAGATTTATTATGAAAAATGTAAAATACTTGGGCTGGCGCCGCGGCTCACATTGCTAATCCTCCACCTGTGGTGCCAGCACCCTGGGTTCTAGTCCCAGCCGGATTCTGTCCCAGTTGTTCCTCTTCCAGTCCAGCTCTCTGCTGTGACCCGGGAGTGCAGTGGAGGACGGCCCAAGTGCTTGGGCCCTGAGCCCACATAGGAGACCAGGAGGAAGCACCTGGCTCCTGGCTTCGGATTGGCGCAGCGTGCGGCCGTAGCGGCCATTTGGGGGGTGAACCAATGGAGAAAGGACCTTTCTCTCTATATCTCTCTAACTCTGCCTGTCAAAAAAAATGTAAAATACTTAAATAACTTACAATTTTGGTTGTAATATTTTAGATAAACAATGGGTTAAATAAAAGGTATTCTTAAGTTTTACCTGTTTCTTTTTTTTTTTTTTTGACAGGCAGAGCAGACTGAGAGAGAGAGACAGAGAGAAAGGTCTTCCTTTTGCTGTTGGTTCACCCTCCAATGGCCGCCAAGGCCGGTGCACCGCGCTGATCCGAAGCCAGGAGCCAGGTGCTTCTCCTGGTCTCCCATGCGGGTGCAGGGCCCAAGCACTTGGGCCATCCTCCACTGCCCTCCCGGGCCACAGCAGAGAGCTGGCCTGGAAGAGGAGCAACCGGGACAGAATCCAGCGCCCCGACTGGGACTAGAACCCGGAGTGCCGGCACCGCAGGTGGAGGATTAGCCTATTGAGCCGTGGTGCCGGTCCACTTTTTTAATGTGACTACTAGAAAATTTTAAAATTACACATGTGGTATCTTCAATGAGTTCACAGAAAATGCATATTATGAAACAACTATGCATGAAATTAAAAAATTTTCACACCAAAATAAACCTATCTTACAATTCAATTGTCCATGAACTCTGAAGTCTCTCCTATGTGGCTTGCACTGCATTCCTGCTTTCCAGTGCTGGGTTAAGACTATCATCTGTGGGGCCAGCATTGTGGCATGGTGGGTAAAGCTGCTACCTACAGCGCCAGCATCCCATATGGGCGCTAGTTCGAGACCCGGCTGTTCCACTTCTGATTTAGTTCTCTGCTATGGCCTGGGAAAGCAGTAGAAGAGGACCCAAGTGCTTGGGCCCCTGAACCTGTGTGGGAGAACAGGAAGAAGCTCCTGGCTCCAGGCTTCAGATCGGTGCAACTCTGACTGTTGCAGCCAACTGGGGAGTGAACCAGCGGATGGAAGATCTCTCTCTCTCTGCCTCTCCTTCTCTCTCTGTGTAACTGACTTTCAAATAAATAATCTTTTTTTAAAAAAGATTATTATTTGTAACAAGCTGCAGTACTGAATTGTGAAACATGAGAGCTCTGAATCCGACTTGCAGGTTAATAGCTCAATACATACATTTAAGAGATATTATGGGGTGTGGAGAGACCAAGCCAATATTAGAACAGAGGACAAAAATAATCATGTAGGGCCGGCGCCACGGCTCAATAGGCTAATCCTCCGTCTTGCGGCGCCGGCACACCGGGTTCTAGTCCCGGTTGGGGCGCTGGATTCTGTCCCAGTTGCCCCTCTTCCAGGCCAGCTCTCTGCTGTGGCCAGGGAGTGCAGTGGAGGATGGCCCAAGTACTTGGGCCCTGCACCCCATGGGAGACCAGGAGAAGCACCTGGCTCCTGGCTTCGGATCAGCGCGGTGCGCCGGCCGTGCTGGCCATTGGAGGGTGAACCAACGGCAAATGAAGACCTTTCTCTCTGTCTCTCTCTCACTTTCCACTCTGCCTGTCCAAAAAAAAAAAAAAAAAAAAAAAAATCATGCTTTTCAAGTTTATTTGATGCAGCACCCAAACCGTGTTCTTGAACAATGGACCACCAAGCACCTTACCACATCCCACGTGAAAAACGGGTTTAATGGTGCAGCTAAACAAGTGTAAGCAGATTCCGGGGAGGGCAAAGTCAAGGAATACGAAGTATACAAGGTGTAAGAAACCTGTGGTGCTCCTAGAAAGGAAAGGGAATGGATGAGCAGGTCCTCCCAGAGCTCACGGTGAACAGGAGGACATATACTAATCTGACTCTAACTTCCTTCTCTCCTCTGTGACTTTGGAACACTTTTCTTAAACATTTATTTAGGAGATTTTAGAGTCGGGGTTGACAGAAAAAGCATACACCAGGGGCAGTGGGCTTCGCTTCTCCTCGCCACCCATCGAGGACAGCAGGAGTGGCAGTGGGCAAAGGACCCCCAGGGATTTCTCGTCTCCCACACCATAAGCAATGCCTCTCAGCATCTGCAGGCTCTGTTTGTGGTGATTTATGGAGTCACTTTAGCAACCAGCTGCTGACGCCCAGTCTGAAACTCTCCTGGCACACCTGTGGGCCTGGTGCAACACTGTTCTATGGCTGTGTGTCACTCCTGACCACCAAACCCAGGTTATAAGGGAATCATGAGGAGAAGCAGGGAAGATAACATGGAGACAGCTCATCAACAAAACAGCAAAACGACAGGCAAGGAAATGAAACATTTCTGAACACAATATCCTGTGGAAGATGGGCCATATGATAGTGTGGGGACTGAACCATGTGCTTGAAGTCTGGCAAAATGCTGGGAAACAGACACCATCTAGTGAACAAGACTGTGTGAGTTGCTAAAATCTTCTTTTTAAGAGTCAGTTATTTATTTGAAAGGCAGAGTTAAAGAGAGGGTGAGACAGAGAGAGACAGAGACAGAGAGACAGAGAGGAGGGATCTTTCACCTGCTGGTTCACTCCTCAAATGGCTGTAGCTACCAGGGCTGGACCAAGCTGAAGCCAGGAGTAAGGAGCTTCTTCTCTGTCTCCCACAGGGGTGCAAGGGCCCAAGCACTTGGGCCATATTCCAGTGCTTTCCCAGGTGCATTAGCAAGGAGCAGGATCAGAAGTGGAGCAATGGAGACTTAACCTGGTACCCATATGGGATGCTGGTGTTGTAGGTGGTGGCTTAACCTGCTGTACCACGATGCCAGTCTCCTAAAATCTTTCAAGACAATGAGATAAACTTAGAAATGGGAGAGCAAACCTCTATACATGGGCTAACTCAGCTCACCTTGAGATTTGTTTCCATCACTTAGATTAGTCTCCAGGTTCTAAGCCAACTGTCACAACCTGGCTTTTTTAACCAGTAAGAAGTATTGACAAGCAAATATAAAAGATGGACATTAAAAATACCTCACAGTAAGCTTTGGAAAATTCCATTAAGATTCTGGTTTACTTACCCCACATTCGTAGCACTTGGATTTATCAAAGTAGTTCCGTCTTCGGATGAATTCGGCTGCTCTTCCATTGTCGATAGCAATGCTTGCTTTTATCACTCTACCGAATAACTGCACCGGAGAAAAGCATCAGTGCACAGGGCGCGCTTCCCTGAGACAGGACACTGGCTGCTTCCTCTCATGTCCCCAAATCTTCAATTCCCTTTTATTTTCTAGGTGTGATACATTCTACCCTGCAGTATTTTTATTTCTCAAATTCTACCAAAGCATTGGGAACCCAGTACAGCCTTGACTGATTTTGTTTTCCATAAATTAAACAGCCTCAGAATCTACTGCACCCCTAGTCTTGAGGCCTGCATGCACACAGAGGCTTCTGGGTCACAAACCCTGACGGGAAGGCATGCTTACCTGTTTGTTGTTTATCGCCCTGGTGCAGTTTTGCGCAGAGTCTTTATCCAAAAACAAAATGAATGCAACCCCTTTACTCTTCCTGGTGTCTTTATCTTTCATTATAGTAACCCTTAAAGCACAAAACAGCAGTTAAAAAGAGGAGGCAGTGATAAAAGAAACAGACAGTCATGCTTGGAAAACTCAAGTTTTTAAGAAAAGTGTTAAAGGGGTGCAGCTTCGATGAGGAGTCAGCCTAGGGAGGCGGGTGAAGGGAACAGAGACACAGCGCTGCCTCCGAGAGTTAGCTACACTTCTCCTCTGCCAAAAACACCACAGGACTGGGGTGTTTTCTCCTACACAAACAGAAACAATTTACTTATTTTTCTAGGCATTAGCATCTAATTGTATTCGTAATATTCTTTTACAGAAGTGAGGTTCCACGGTGCTTAGCCAGAGCACACAGTGTAGCGGTGACAGGTGAGGGCGCAGTCTGCCTTCCGTCACCGGCACCACCACAGTCTGTTCTGTGGGTTCTTGCTCACTGTGGGCCACGAAGCGGAGCCCACAGCAATGTCAGCAGGGCGTTCTGGAGAGACAGCAGATTCCAGAGGTGGAGCAGCACGGGTCCACGATGAGCCAGCTGGGAGGAGACCGCGCTGACCAAATCCAGGACTATCTGAGTACCAAAACAATTAGCTCCAGTAATGAATTACAAAACGCAGAAAAAGCAGGGATTTCTAAGTCTATACCTTAATAGACAGGGGAAGGGCAGGGAGGGTTTTTCCCTAGGGTGAATGCCAAAGGATGGTGGTAAAGGAGTAGGGGCACTGCATAAGGAAAAACCCACTATTTTTTAACAGCCATCGTGGGGCCGGCGCTGTGGCGCAGCAGGTTAATGCCCTGGCCTGAAGCTCTGGCATCCCATATGAGCACCGGTTCGAGACCCAGCTGCTCCACTTCTGATCCAGCTCTCTGCTGTGGCCTGGGAACGCAGTAGGGGATGGCTCATGTCCTTGGGCCCCTGTACCCATGTGGGAGACCCAGAGGAAGCTCCGGGCTTCGGATCGGCACAGCTCTGACCGTTGCTGCCAATTGGGGAGTGAACCAGTGGATGGAAGATCGATCTCTTTCTGCCTCTCCTCTATGTTACTCTGACTTTCAAATGAATCAATAAATCTTAAAAAAAAAAAAAAAAACCAAACCAAAACAGTCATGGTGAAGAACTGATCAGGGAAACCATCAACAAACGTACAGTCTAAAATTTTGTTGCAAAATAGTAAGACTGCTAATTAATTAAAAAAGGTAAAATATACAGCGGAGACACAGGACGCTACTCTGATCAAAACCAATACCAGTCAAGAGACAGACAGTGTGCCTCTACGAAAGCTATCAGAAGGTATATCAATCTCTTCACGAGGGAAAAGCAGCAGGTGGCAGCCGTGTTCTTCACAGCTTCCACACAAAAGGACGCTAAAAAGAAAGGACAGTTAAAGCAATATCTGATTGTGGCTGGATACCAAAGCAGAAAAATGCTATGCAAGACATTATAAGAGGTCAACTAACAAAACTGCAAAACAACTGGTGGACTCAGTGAGTGCTGTGTTTTTATATTTGTGAAGTTGGTAATTCTATTCTAGTTAAGATGTATCTCTAAGTAACACACTCAAGTACTTAGTAGTTAAGAGCAGTGATTTTTCTAACTCATGCCCAAATGAATCAGAAAAACTGTTCACATATGCACAGATGAAAGAAGAGGGTAAAGAATAAAGCACATGAGGGTGAATGCCAAATGCACTGACTCTGAATAAAGGAAATTTACATATTCTTTATACTACTTTTCAAACTTTTATAAATTTGAAATTATTTATAAATAGCAAAAAAAGGACAAAGGTTAACAATTTTCTAAAACCCACATAACAGGAAAACAGACAAGAAGATGCAATGAGACTTTATTCAAGACTAATTTTCATATATTAAATTATTCCACTCAGGTTTGGGTCTGTATAGACGCTGGATTTAACACTGATAAAAGATGCCACCACATTGAGAAAAGGAATGTCTAATTTTTTTAAAAAGCAACAGACGTGGAAGTAACTTAGGGAAAATGGGCACCAAAGTGGCTGAGCTTCTCAGGGTGCCTGTGTTCACTCAGAGGCCGAGGGTGAAGAAAGCCCAGGCCCTCGGTGAAGCCTGCAGTGTAGGCCTATCACCTCCAAAGGCAGCACTGCGCGGTTTTCAACCAGTTCTGAGAACTATCAAAAGACTAGTTTTGGGCTGGCGCCATGGCTCACTTGGTTAATCCTCCGCCTGCAGCGCCCACATGGAAGACCAGGAGGAAGCACCTGGCTCCTGGCTTCAGATCGGCACAGCGCCGGCCGTAGTGGCATTTGGGGAGTGAACCAATGGAAGGAAGACCTTTCCCTCTGTCTTTCTCACTGTCTATAGCTCTACCTGTCAAATAAAAAAAAGAGAGACTAGTTTTAACTTCTGGCAATTTTTCACATTTGTGAAGGTGAGATGAAGTCATAAACCGTTTCTGTAAAACACTGTTGCAGAAGTGTGGCTTTCCACACCAGGCCGTTAGTGACCTCACTGCTCTGTCTCTCTTTCCCATCCCACTGCTGTGGTCCTGTCCACGATGGTGTTAAAACTCCCAAGAGCGTATCCTCACTGGTTTCCTGGTGGTAACTCGTGTGTAACTAACGAAGTCTTCTACTTCATGGATAAATGAAACCATCATCCTTTGCTCAACAATCCCTGGTTCTTTAAAATGCCTGTCTTTGTTCAGGCATCAGTATCCTCCGACTTGGCTCCCACCTTCTTCACCTTTCACTGCTTCTTCCACTTGCCAAAATAAGCCATCCAGGGTTCACACAGCACAGGCTGCACTTCCCCAGCTGGTGCCTCTGTCCATGTGTCTTCCTGCACCTCTCAATTACTGCCCATTAGAATTCTACTCATTCTTCTGATCAGAATCTGTTCCCTAATCTCTTTTCATCAAAATGAATCCCTCCTTTTCTCTGCTGGCCCCATCTCACCTATTTTCATGCAAACTCCTTCCAGGTATCTGTACCCTCTAAGTGCCTAGCTCAAGGTGCAAACTGGAGAGGCAGATACAAACCGCAGGAGCACCTGGCTTTACTCCTCTGGTCCTTCAGCCTCAGGGCTAGGCAGGAAGCACTAACAGCACCAACAGCACCAGGGCACTTCACAGTTTGTGGGAATGGAATTAAAAGATAAGCTAACTTTGGAGAACTTTGAACTTCATGCAGAGCAAATGAAGTATCTTTCAAAAGTTCATAAAAATGCACCTTTCACAAAACTACAAAAATTACGCATGGATTTCAACAATTTTTACATTAAAATAAGCTTAGCTTTTAATTCCATTTCCCCATTTTAAAGAACTTTTCTGGAGTACTCTCATATAAGGCTGTAGGACAAGGTTTTTATCCCAGTAAAAAGCTGACATTTGGAGTCAGTGTTTGCCACGGTGGTTAAGCAGCTGCTTCGGATAGAGTATCCCACATCAGAGTGCCTGGGTTTGAGTCACAGCTCCATTCTCCACTCCAGCTTCCTGCTAATGCACACCTGGGAAGCAACAGCGATGGCTCAAGTAGTTGGGTTCCTACCGTCCATGGGGGAAACCTGAATTCAGATCCTGGCTTCAGCGTGACTCAGCCCTGGCCATCTGAGGAGTAAACCAGCAGATCGGAGTCTCTCTTTGGCTCACTTTCAAGAAAGTTTTTTTTTTTTTTTTAAAGAAAGCTTTTAGCAGGAGGTATTGTGGCAAAAATTAAGCTGCTGCTTGGGACACCTGTCTCTCACCTTGGCGTGCCAATTCAAGTCCCGGCTAGTCTGCTTCCCACCTGGCTTCTTGCTAATGCATCCTGGGAGGCAGCAGATGATGGCTCAATGCCTGGGCTCCTTCCATCCAAGTGGGAGACCCCAGTGCAGGTCCTGACTTCTGCCAGGTCCAACCCTGCCTGTGTGGTCATGTGGGGAGTGAACCAGCAAATCGAAGAATGATTTCTCTCTCTCCTGCCTTTTAAATAACTTTTTTTTAAAAGCTTACGATCTATTGATGGAGATAGACCTGTAAGCCAACTACAATATGTCACTAGTGACAGCTTCTATGGCAACAGAAAAATTTGACACCGATGAGTTAAGAAGACAACTCTGTGATGACTCTCATGTTTCTAACACAGGAAAAGCGGCAGAGAGCATATAAAGCAGACAATACACTCATTCATATCACATGAAGCAGACACTATCCAGGAAACCTGGGTGTCACCCCTGCCACTCCGTCTCTCATGCAACCCTGCATACATTATAAGCACTTCACAAAGTGCTGTCCATTTCACTTTGCAGACAGCTCTGCACTTAAAGCAGCCTCTACTCTCCCTGCACTGCAGGAGTGCTGGTTCAGACAGGGCACCCTGCCTGTGCTCCTGTTCTCCTCCAACCCAATCTCTACAAGGAATCCACAAGCTTTTAGAAATTCACTTCTACTCCGGACCCACCAGGAGCTCTCTCTTACTAGAAACTCTTTACATACACACAGGTACTTGGGCCCCTGCCACCCACGTGGGAGACCAGATGCAGCTCCTGTTTCCTTGATTCGGTTGGCCATTGCGACTGAACGGGAAGTGAACCAGGGGATGGAGGATCTCTGGTTCCTTCTCTCTCCACTCTTGCTCTGTATGGTTTAAAGGTATGGGTTCTGGAATAAGACTGTTGGTTTCAGATCTTGTCCCCTCAGTAACTAGCGATAGGACCTCAGGTTTACTGTGTGCTTCAGTTTCTTCCTTTTCTCTCTCTCTCTCTCTCTTTTTTTTAAGATTCATTTATTTATTTGAAAGAGTTATTTGAAAGCCAGAGCTGTGCTGAGACAAAGCCAGGAGCTCCTTCTGGGTCTCCCATGCAAGTTCAGGGGCCGAAGGACCTGGGCCATCTTCTACTGCTTTCCCAGGCCATAGCAGAGAGCTGGATGGGAAGTGGAGCAGCAGGGACCCAAACCGGTGCTCACATGGGATGCTGGCACTGCAGGCGGCAGCCCCACCCACCATGCCACAGAGCTGGCCCCAGTGCTAGTTTCTTTTAAGGATAAAATTAGAATAATAACAGCACTTACCTTGAAGGGCAGGTTTGAGAATTAAATGATACTATGCTCAAAAAAATTAGAACAATGTCTAGTATATAGGAGAATATCAAAAGTTTATTTTAGTGTAAAAAAAATTGAAAACCACAGTTGCTTATAATACATGTTTTCAACAAACTTGTTGAATATTCTCATAAGCATGGATTTCAAAATATTCTGCACCAAAATAAACTTTTCTTTCAATTCACTTTTCTTGATCTTTTTGGAATACTCTTATATGTGCTCTTTTTAAAAAGGTTTACTTATTTATTTGAAAGTTAAGACAGGGAGGAATGAAAGGAGGGAGAGGGTGACAGAGAGAGAGAGAGAGAGAGAGAGAGAGGGAGAGGGAGAGAGGGAGAGAGGGAGGGAGAGAGGGAGAGAGGGAGAGAGGGAGGGGGGGGGAGAGGGGGAGAGGGGGAGAGAGGGAGAGGGAGAGGGAGAGAGAGAGAGAGAGAGATCCTCCTTCCCCAGTTGGCTGCAATGGCTGGGCCAGGAGGCAGGCTGGAGCCAGGAGCTTTACCCAGGTCTCCCATGTGGGCAGCAGGGACCCAAGCACTTGGGCCATTCTCTGCTGCTTTCCCCAGGGATTAGCAGGGAGCTGGATCCGAAGCAGAGATGGTATCTCATGGGGGATGCTGGCATTGCGGGTGGCGGCTTTATCCGCTAAGCTACAAACTAGCCCATGTATGTCCTCTTTTGTTACATACCACCATTACTAGAGTTTTGATTGATGATGACTGTTCAAAAATCTGAAGACCCCAAAATTTACCTAGAAGTATTTTGGATAACAATTTTTAGTAGCAAACTAAGCTTAAAAGAGGTTAATAATTTCATGATGCACACCAACTTCAATAGTTTAACATTCACTAATGGAAAGATACAAGAAAAAGAACTAGTCAAAATAAACATACTCTAAAAACAATCAATCAAAAAACAAAAACAAAACTGAATAAAATAAATGTGCTCCAAATTCTTAGAATTTTAAGTTCTTGCCAAAGTGTGTGTAACTACTATATAGAAGGGTGGTATCTTGCTTTTACTTCTGCACAATACAGTTGCTAGATCAATTTAAAACAGTGAATTAAATACGAGAACCTGAAGTTATTTTTAATCTCTTATCTCCTATCCCTAATTGCTATTATCATCTATTAATAGCAATCTATAATTGCTATTATCATCTATTTTTGTTCCTTTGTAGTCTTTCTGATATAGCCAAGCTTTCCCTTAAGGTAAAGAGTGGGCACCCAAGTGTGGCCAGGTGTGGGGATGAGGTCACACAGGGGCGTGGCAAAGGCGTGGTCTTCCAGCTCACAAGCCTAATCCATTTTAACCTATATGCCTGCCTACTTCAAGTCTCATAAACAATTTGGAAGTTACATATATTGACATACTCATTTCAACATTATTCCTTCAATAAGTGGTAAACCATTCATAGTGTACTTGATAACACCGGTTCTAATAACCAAAACATGTTTAATCAGACATCAGGTCTTATACTGGATAGCAGAATTAGTTTTAGACTTTATAAGTAATATGGTAAGAAATTATAAAGATTGTTCAAATCACGATATATAAAGGAATATCAAAGAAAAATTGAATATAGGGATATATCTATAGTATATACATGGATTTATAATATAATGTCAACTTTTAAAAGGAAGCTGATATACAAAAATATTTATAAAAAGGTTAACAGTATTTTTATTTTGTTATAGCAAGTACCCATTTTATTAAAGCAAAAAAAAAAAAGAAGTAAATTCAGACAAATTTTAAAATGAAGCTTCAAAGAGTATTATGAATACTTACTTTACAACTTTGCCATACTTGGAAAATATCTGGAACAAAAGAGCACACATTCAGCATTTCCGTTAGAATCATACATGTTCAGGTTCATACACCAGCTTCTTTCTTGCAGTTCATGAACCATGTTAGCTGTCTATAAAGCAGGCTGTAGAGGAAATTTTTTTGGTGACTACAATAATATCCTCATTGTTACTGGAATCATGTGTATCTGTCTAAGTCCAGAATTTCTCAGCGTGGTGAATGCGCAGTGAATGCGTGGTGAATGCAGTCATGGGCGCTGGAACTCAGCCTGAGTTCTCAGTCCTCTACAGCTCCAGCCAGCGCCTGGAGAACATCACCATCTCTAGCTCTCCCACCACAAAAATGAGAGCAATCCCTGTTTTTTTTTTTTTTTGACAGGCAGAGTGGAAAGTGAGAGAGAGACAGAGAGAAAGGTCTTCCTTTTGCCGTTGGTTCACCCTCCAATGGCTGCCAAGGCCGGCGCACCGCGCTGATCCAAAGGCAGGAGCCAGGTGCTTCTCCTGGTCTCCCATGGGGTGCAGGGCCCAAGTACTTGGGCCATCCTCCACTGCACTCCCGGGCCACAGCAGAGAGCTAGCCTGGAAGAGGGGCAACCGGGACAGAATCCGGCGCCCCAACTGGGACTAGAACCTGGTGTGCTGGTGCCGCAGGTGGAGGATTAGCCTATTGAGCCGTGGCGCCGGCCTTTTTTTTTTTTTTAATATTTATTTACTTATTTGAGAGGTGAGTTATAGACAGAGAGAAGGAGAGACAGAGAGAAAGATGTTCTGTCTGCTGGTTCACTCCCCAGATGGCTGTAAGGGCTGGAGCTGAGCTGATCCGAAGCCAGGAGCCAGGGGACAGGGGCTTCATCTGGGTCTCCCACATGGGTGCAGGGGCCCAAGCACTTGGGCCATCTTTTACTGCTTTCCCAGGCCATAAGCACAGATGGGAATTGGAAGAGGAGCAACTGGGACACGAATTGGCACCCATGAGATGTCTGCACCAGAGGTGGAGGCTTAGCCCACTATGGGGCCCCAGCAATCACTGTTTAATAAGACAGGAACTCACATTGCTTGTCAAGCAGAAACACAAAACAGCTTCTATAAGGAAAAATCTGTTTCCCTCAGCTCCTCCTCCTTCCAGTCATTACTCTATGCTGGTGCCACTTTATAGCTGGTGCATCTGTTGAGTTTATATCTACACCCTCCTGCTAAGCAATCTCAACTATTACTAAGGTTTCAGCCAGTATCTATACTTATAGTCCCCACCTTTCTTAGAAAACAGTCTTTTAGAATATGTTAATACATGAACCAACAGTAACATTCGGGTTCTATGATTAAGTTGTATAATGCTAGAAAGCGGCGTAAGTGAATTGCAGTGTTAGGAACACTGGATTCTGAACACTGGTATGGCTTTTCTATGAGCCCTTTCCAATGGCTCCTGATTTCACTCTGAGTGAACACTGAAGTCCTTCCACACTCACGGTCATACAGGCAGCCCTGAGGTGGGCTTCTCTCTCATGACCCCTGGTTCGCTGAAGTCCTTCCACACTCATGGTCATACAGGCAGCCCTGAGGTGGGCTTCTCTCTCATGACCCCTGGTTCGCTGAAGTCCTTCCACACTCATGGTCATACAGGCAGCCCTGAGGTGGGCTTCTCTCTCATGACCCCTGGTTCGCTGAAGTCCTTCCACACTCACGGTCATACAGGCAGCCCTGAGGTGGGCTTCTCTCTCATGACCCCTTGTAGCTCCTGCAGTGCTTGTCACCGAGACACCTGCGGAACTGCCTCTTGCTTGCTTCAGGTGTTTATTCTAAAGTCACCTTCTTTTTTTCCAATAGCACAATCAGCCAACTCTTCATTTACTGAACACTGTATACAATTCATACTGCTGTCAAGACATTATCCTCAAGCACACACAAAACATTTGACAAAGCACAGCATATTCAAGGCCATAAAACGAGTACAGCACTGGGGCACAGATGGTAAAGCTGCTGCCTGCAGTGCTGGATGGGCCCCGGTTTGAGTCCCCGCTGCTCCAGATCCGATCCAGCTCTCTGCTATGGTCTGGGAAAGCAGTAGAAGATGGCCCAAGTCCTTGGGCCCCTGCACAGTGTGGGAGACCCAGAACAAGCTCTGGGCGCCTGGCTTTGGATCGGCACAGCTCTGACCATTGCGGCCAACTGGAGAGTGAACCAGAGGATGGAAGACCTTCCTCCCTCCTTCCCCCCCCCCCCCCCCCCCCCCCGCCTCTCCTCTCTCTGTGTAACTTTGACTTTCAAATACATAATCTTTTTTTTTTTTTTTAAAGGGCACTTCTCCCCACCCTCGAGTTTCACCTCCACCTCCAACCTAACACTGAACAGCCCTTCCTTATTTTTCTCTTTAGCACTGAACATCTTGGTGTCTTCTTAGTATCTACTGCATAATTGGACTTTTAAATAGTTTGCATTATTTCTCCTGCTGTGAGTGTCAAGGGAATTTTTATCTTGTTGTTCACTGATGTGTCTCTAGAACCTGTAAGAGTGCTCAGCACATAATAAGCACTCAATAAATACAGTAAGTCTCTCTTTTGAACAAGTTAACCTCCTCCTGTTCTTTGAAAATCAAGCTATGTTAATTAATCAAGTACTATATACCGCCAATACAGCATCTCTATCTAACGTCTACCCAAAGTAGCAATTCCTCCAGGTCCATTCAACCGCCTGTCTGCAGGGCAGGAGCAACAGGAAATTGTGTTTTCTGTGAGGTCAAAAGGTGAAACAATATGGTAGAGGGACTAGCACTGAGGTGTACTGGGTAAAGCTACCGCCTGTAGTGTCAGGATCCCATACGGACACTGGTCGGAGTCCTGGCTGCTCTACTTCCAATCAGCTGCCTGCTGAGAAAGCAGCTGGGGATGGTCCAAGCGCTCGGGCCCCCTCACCCACTTGGATCTTCCGGAAGCTCCTGGCTCTTGGCTTTGGCCTGGCACAGCCTGTACCATTGCGGCCATTTGGGTAATGGGAGAATGCATGAAAGACCCGTATCTCTCTCTCTGCCTCGGCCTCTCTGTAACTCTTTCAAATAAATAAATATTAAGAAAAAAAAAAAGAATATGGTGGAAGGGATTGCCCCCTCATCTCAATCACCCTTATTCTGAGTTGAAAACAAATTTATCAAACTGTTAAGCTTCTGCCACACCTGCCCAAACCTGAGTGTGAGACAAAGGAAACAAATCTGTTTGACCCATCAGTTTCTTTCTCCACCCACCAGCACTTCCAAAGCCAAGAAAGTAAGGAGAAAAACCAGCCCATTACAAGTTGCTTCCACTTCACTAAGTCACAGGTTCCTTCTGTGTTATGAAGAACTTGTTACTTTGTAGAGGTATACGAATATTCTAAGTTCTCTTTGGAAATGAAAGTTTCTACTTCTTTCATTTACTTGTATCTGCAATCGGTGCCCCACTGCGACCCTACAGTGCCATGGACACTGATGCTAGATACCATCCGGCCCTGGCCACCTAGCCTCCCTTGCTTAGCTTAAAGGTTCCTTGCCTCCTACTAAAATCAGCTGCCTGAACTGTGGTAGTGGTGCAGCTGGCCCTACAGGATTCCTCAACACAAGATGCACAGGCCATCCTTCGCCCCTGCAGAGAAGATAACATCTTGTTGTCTGGTCTGGTCTTGAGGAGTTTCTTTTCCTGGCAGCAGCCCCTAGACTGCCTGCAGCCCACACTGACTGCATCAGAATTTCCGAGACCGCGGTCACAGATCACAGGAGGGCACTGGCACTGCAGCTGCACCAGATGCTGGACGTGAGCCGAACTCGCACACTTCTCAACCCCAACTTCCACCTCGAAGAAGCGTGCCCACAGCCTGTCAGGGAGCCAGGCATTAGGCAACAGCTGCTGGCTCCCTTGCTCTGTTCTTTGCAAAAATACCTACTTTAAATTAATATGCTGCTGGGTGCAAGTTGGGCAAGCAGACCCAGGTAGGGGCAGGGTTTCTGTGACCACTCCTCCAGCCCGTTCCGGGGTGTTCTGTAACAGATGTATTTTTCACTAACAGTCCAAGTACACTATGGAGCACTTCATGAAGATTTTGCCAGAAAGAACTGCTTGGGTGAGCTACATCCGTGTCTGCAACAGACCACTCAGGACAAAAAAACAAAAACAAAAAAAAAAACATGCCGACATGAAACTTACCCTGTATAGGTCGTTGTTCGTCAGGGAGAAGGGCAGGTTGGAGACATACACTGTGCTTTTACTGGGGGCCAATCCACCACTCATTTCTAAGAAAGAAAACATGCAAAGTCATAAGCATTCGACACCGGGACTTGTTCATTGCACTTAAAGCCGCACTACATCTTGGGCAGTCAGGAACCTGGACACCAGCTCGGGGAACCAGTTTCCTCCCCATTAGCATTCCGGACCTTTCCGCTACTCTTAAGCTCTCCTCAGGCTAAGAGCAGAAAATGCACTCAAAGGTCTAAGTCCAGTATCCTGCCCACCCACCAGAAGCAGCCTGGGGGCTAAGAACTTCAGTCGGGAATTTCTGCCGACATCCTGGGTAGGTACTTTTCTTTGTCATTTCAATCCTTCTCTGGAGTGGTGTTAAGAAATTCTGGCCTCATATTTTGATAATGTAAAACCCTTTAGAATCACTCAAGTTATCACCACCAAATTACGAACTGACACATTTTATCTTATGAGCTGGTTCAGTGTTTTGAAGGGATGCCGACCCTTGGAACCAGAATTAAAAAATAAGCTGCTTTCGGGTGCAAAAACTTTGCCATCCATGCGCGGGAGGGATCGCCACAAAGTTTATGGAGAATGCGTATTATGAAAGAACTGCACGGCTTTCAATTTTTTGCATCCGAGTAAACTTTCAATTCCATTCTTTTTTTTTTTTCCCTGACATTCAGAAACACCTGACGCTCACAAACATCCGTAGTGTTAATTTTCACGCCCAAATTACCCGTGTAAACAAGCGCCTGAACGCTACCGATTTCGGATCTCAAGAGCCGGTGCAGCGGGCCTGAACCCCCGGCAACCGACCGCCACGAAAGGCGCGGGGAAGCTGGGCGCGGCTCGGCGCTGCGGGGACTACCGGGAACACCTGGGCCGCCGGCTCGCCTCGGCTTCCCGGCCCGGCGCAGGGAACGCTGCCCCTGCGGGGACGGCGAGCGCAGGCCGGGCCAAGCTCCGGAAGAAGGGCGCAGAGGGCTAGCCGCTGTGGCCGCCGGGAAAGGCCGCGGCTCAGGGGCGTTTACCTTCAGACGGGGTGGCGGCGCGCGAGCCCCCGGCCCGGCCCGCTCACCCCCGACTCCTGCTGCAGCTTTGCCGAGCCCCGTGCATCGCGGGGGCCGGCCAGGAGCAGGCGCCGAGAAACAGACCCGAGCGGCCGCGGGCCTCGGCGGCGGCGCGCCTGCTGACGTCACGGCGCGCGCCGGAAGTGCCTGGCAGACGGCGGCGGCGGGCGGACGGGTGCGTTCCTGGTTTCCCGCGGCCGAGTCGGTGAGCGCTTTTCCCTTGGCGGGAGTTGTTGGGGCGGGTGTGCGGGACGTTGGCCCAGGGCGGGCCGTTCCCTGCGGACCCTGGCGACTCGGGCTGGCGCCGTGCCACAGTCCTACGCTTTGAAGTGGAGGGTGGAGAGAGACGCAGTGGAGGTCGGGCACAGCGTGCTGGGTCTGAGCCAGGTTCGCTTCTCTTCCAAGGGGTCCTGCGCGGGCCGCGTCGGGACCCGAGGGCAGGCGGGCAGGCAGGCAGGCGGGCGTGTGCTCGGCGTCAGGCACTTGGCGCGGTGCGGGCAGAGGGGCGCGGCGGGCTCGTCTTCAGCGGAGTGCCACGCAGCAGCTGGGACGAGCCGGGTTCCGAGTCGGCTCGGCTCCCGCGTCGTTGGGAATTTTCTGGCGCCTGTGCCCTCCTTTGAACCCATCTCGGGCTCGCCCTGCTGCTTCTCCGAGATCAGGAAAAAAATGCGTTTTGTCTCTGGTGCTTAAGTTAACTCCGCCAGCAGCCGGGAGCCCGCGCCGCCCATCCGGGCCGAAGCCGGGCCTTGTGCAGACGGAGGCGCCTGAGTGCGCCCGCGTGCACCGGCTGCGGCCGGGGCTCGCTCTCCGGCGCCTGTGGTCCTCACTGGCCTCGAACTCTCTGGTTCTCCTGCGGTTTGGGGCTCCCTCTCCCTGGATTCGGACCCTGGCTGCGTCTGCACCCCCCTCTGACCCGCTGAACGCCCGGACTGTGCTCTCTTCTCAGCTAAACAAACTCTTGAGCGTATTCAGCCTCTTGAGGATGCGTTCAGCTGTCGGTCTTAGCTCTAGCGGGGCTTCTCCTACCAGCCTTTCCATTGGGCGCTTCCTGTGACACCTGCATCCAGGGTTGGGCTTGGATTCGGCCATAGCGAACCAGAGATCCTCCGCACTCTGCTCTTTGCTACAAGGCGCCTTTTTCTCTCGGGAGCACTGGATCTCCCTGTCCCTGCCTGCGTCTTTGTGGATAACTCTCAGGCATGCCGAAGATCTGAGGTTAGCTGTGGCTTTGTTAGAGGCCATTCCCGAGCTTGGCGTAGTAGATGCATTTGGGGGGCCTTGCCATGTGCTCGGAGCGCGCCGGCTTTCCAGTCCGGCGCAGTAGAATAGCTGGTCTCCTCGCCTTCCCTCCCCAGTCCGCGAGGGGAGGGCGGCTTTGCCTTGTTCAACATTGTAACTGTTGTATCCATTTGCTGTCAAGAGACAGGTGGTCCCAGAATAGTTGCAGTGTTGAAGATTTGCTCTCAGAGAGCAGGTAGTTAACAGTAATGAATGTGTGAGACCCTGGGGTAGAAGTCCGTGCTACTCCACCACAGCCCATTCTGGATTCCTGAGAGCATGATACCAGTTTTCATGTCGGAGCAACTTTTTTTTTTAAAGCTGAACATAGAATCTTTAAGTGATACCTAACAGTTTTAAAATGTCAAATATAAAATGTTTGGAAATTTTGAGCACAGTTATTTATTTGAAAGGCGGAGTTGCAGAGAGAGAGAGGTCTTCCATCCGCTGGTTTACTCCCCAAATGGCTGCAATGGGCGGAGCTGCGCCGATCGGGAACCAGGAGCTAGGAGCTTCTTTGCGATCTCTCACGTGGTGGCAGGGACCCCGAGGACTTGCTTTCCCACGCCATAGCAGAGAGCTGGATCGAAGAGGAACAGCCGGGACTCAAACCGGCACCCCTGTGGGATGCTGGCAGTGCAGGCAGCGGCTTTACCCACTACACCACAGCACCAGCCCCTTGAGCACACTTTTAAAAAAGTAACCAAACACAAGTAACCTGTGCCCCTCAGGCCGTGTTCAGATATTGGACTTTGTGGAGAACCATAGGTTTTGGGAGGAGGCAGAATCCTTGAGGGGAAGCTGAGGTTGAATAAGATAGGAAGAGGTATTCCTGTTGGGAAGGGAACCGCTCCAGGGCGGGGTGTGGTCCTTTGGGCCACTGTGAGAGATTTGCATGAACAGGATTAGGTGATATGATAGGCTTGTGGAGGATTGGGAATTTGGGTATTATTAGGATTAGTAAATTATTAGGACTCTTGATCAGGAAAAGTTCTCATTATGAATAGGTATTGACAATTATTTGAGTGATTTTTGGGGGAATGAAATGGGGGGAAAGCATTTGGGGGAAGCTGGCCAGTTAAGAGCAGATACGAAATAAGATCAGTTTGTAAATATTATACGTAAGCAAACATTGGGCATTTTTGTCTACTTATGTAATTTCAGTTGATCATTGACAGTGGATAGTCAATAATCTAATAAATACTATTTTAAATGTTTTTATTTTCATTTTATTTGAAAGGCAGAGAGACGGAGAGACAGAGACAGATCTTCCACCTGCTGGTTCACTTCCCAAATGTCTGCAACAGCCGAGGCTGGGCCAGGCCGAAGCCAGGAGCCACAAACGCAGTCTGGGTCTCCTGCTTGGGTGGCAGGGTCCCAAGTACTTGAGCCGTTATCTGCTGCTTCCCCTGGTGCGCATTAGCAGGAAGCTGGAAAACCAGTCTCCTTACAGCATTGACAAGTCTTGCAGAGCGTTCAGGTCTCCTTTAAAAATGCCGAGTTACGTGGGACACCGTGGAAGCCCTCACTGCCCCTCCAGTCCCTTCTCGAATCCATCTTGGGTACCGCCAGGTTTATATGAAATGGCGCTTTTCTGCCTCATCTTATTTCAAAAACCTACAAGGAGCTCATCTAGCATTGTGTGTGTGTGTGTGTCACTTAATGCCCTTGATCAGTGTTCTTGCCCCTTTTGATAATGGTGGGGTTGGGTCTTCAAAGTTGTGCAGGCATCAGTCTGCTCCCGGCTTCATTAGACTCTGGAATGTAAGCTTTCAGAGGCACTGTTTTAGTCTGCAAAGTGAGAGATGCTGTCGCCTCCTTCTTTGCTGTTCTGTGGGTAAAGCGATTCAGTGTTTTGGAAGTCTGTTGCCGAGTTCTTGCTCACTGGAGAGGCACTGAGTGCTCAAGCCCCTGTGTAAATATTCCAGGCCCATCTGCTTTGTCACACACTTCATGTCCTCCTCCTTGCCTTTAGCTCTTCTTGGATCTTGGTGTTCACTACCATCCATCCACACTTGAAGATTCTGTTAACGTTTTCTTAGCTTTCTTAACACCACTGCCTATGTTTTTCTCTCACTGAGCTCAGAACAGTGCTGAATTCTAACAGGTGTTAGCTGTGTTTTGACCTTTTAAGTTGATATCCATGCTAATGTTTTTTCCCAAAGATGCAAACTGTACTCTAAAATAAATTTTTGATTTAATTGGCTGGAATTTTAAACATTTTCCACTAAATAAAGTGCCCCATAGTTCTTACATTCAAATTATCCCTTAAAATTGTAAATGTTTCATTTCAGGATGTCAGGAATATTCTTAGCATGCTTTTATTTACATATTTTTTAAAGATTTACTTACTTGAAAAAAAAATAGTTACCTAAGAGAGAGAGAGAGAGAGAGAGGGAGGGATCTTCTTGCTGGTTCACTCTCAGATAGCCACAACAGCCAGGGCTGGAATTGCATGTAGGTCTCCCTCGTGGGTGCTAGGGACCCAGGCATTTTGGCCATCTTACTCTGCTTTATCGGGCACATTAGCAGGGAGCTGGACCTGCAGAGGAGCAGCCAGGACTCAAACCAGGCTCGTAGCTCATATGACATGCCAGTGTTGCACTCTGCAACTTAACAGTGCTGGCTCCCAGCCTACTTTGTAGATCAATTGATCTTGCTTGCTTGAGATGAGGTTAAGATTTTTAAAAGGTGTCAGGATCCCACCCTGTGCCGATTGTTGAGGAATGTCAGTGGGCAGGGCCTCGGTGGTGTTATTTTATAAAGCTCCTTACATGGTTCTCATGTGCAGCCAGGAATAGAAATTGCTATTAGGGGTGCAGAACGTTTGGCTTGTGGGCCATATATTTGGCAAGTGAGACGCCAAATTCAGCAAAACTGTAGCAGGCCAATTTTTTAAGTTGACTATTTTATGTGACCCGTGAATGTTAAGAATGTCCAGAGGCCCTTGGTAGAAGAATATTTTCCCACTCCTGCATGCTGGAGCTAAGAGATTGTCCAGGTACCGTTTGCGTAAAAGTGACGTGCTTCCAGTGTCGGGAGAAGTTTTATGAATGATAGGTACAAACTCCTACAGGAAAGTGGTCAGGTGAACAATCTGTATTTATTTATTTATTTGAAAATCAGAATTGGAGGGAGAGACAGATCTTCCATCCAGTAGTTCGTTCCCCAGCTGGTTGCAATAGCCAGGTCTGGGCCAGGCCGAAGCCAGGAACCTCATCCAAGTCTGCCACATAGGTACAGGGGCCCAAGGACTTGGGCCATCTGCCACTGCTTTCCCAGGTGCGTTAGTAGGAAGCTGGATCGGAAGTGGGGCAGCCAGGGCTTGGACTGGCACTCACATGGGCTGGGAGTGCTGCAGACAGCAGTTTTACCTGCTGTGCCACAGTGACACTCCCCACCCCACCCGGTTGTATATATGTGGCTAGTATTTAGTGACTACTTTTACTCTGCTAAGCCCAAGCAGCTTAGTTTTCTTCGTGGTGGAATTCAAATTAGGAGGCTGGGAAAGGGAAGAGTAAACAGAATCTGGTATTATATAGTCGGCCATAATAGAGTGTCTTGAGGGGTTCCAGAGGGAGGAACTTGTGGAGAATGTAAGAGCTGCCATGTGGTCTTGAAGAGTGTAGAGGAGAAGACAGGTGTTCCAGGGAGAGGGAGGTTTGTGCTAACACTGGGTGTTGAGAAACAGTCGCTCACTTTGGGGGAGATGAGTGGTTTGATAGGATTGGAGGGCCTGGTGACTGTTGGAGAAGGGGTTAGGGTTGAAGTTCAAAGCCACAGCCAAGTGGGGCTGTGGGGAGTGTGTGAGTTCTTCAGCAGTGTTTTAGTGGAATGGATGCGGGCTGTTGTCTGCCCTGGGGACAGGGTGGGTAAAGTGACACCAGAAGGCAGGGAGCTGTCTTGCCATTGCAAGTGCAGGGGATAAACTACAGTGTGAACAAAGAAGTGTGTTACGGAAGTGGTAGAAATAACTGGATTTAGTAAACAAAGGTGGAAAGTGGGATTTTTTAATGACAAAGATTTCCAAGTTGGGCCTTTGAGTACCTGTTATCACTCACCAAAACAGAGAGGAAAGGGGACAGAGTGACCTGAGATCCTGAAGAGCTGCTGAGTTGGGGGTGTCTGAGCATTGCTTCTGGAAGGAGATGGAAATGGAGATGAGAGTCATTTATGTAGAGGGAACATCTTTTCAATATTGATGTGTTTTTATTTATTTATTTGAAGATCTGTTTATTTATTTGAATTGCAGAGAGAGATCTTCCATCCCCTGGTTTACTCCCTAGATGGCCCCAACAGCCAGGGTTGGCCCTCACCAAAATCGGGAGCCAGGAGCTTATTCCAGACCTCCCACATGGGTAATGGGCCCAAACACTTAGACAGTTAGCAGGGAGCTGGATGGGAAGTGGAGCAGCCAGGACACAGACCTGCTCCCATATAGGATGCAGGCGGCAGCTTAACCCACTAGGCCCTGACACCAGCCCCTTCCCGCTGAATGTTCAGCATACACTCTGTGCCAGTTCTGTGGGCTGCATAGCAATGAGCACCCTAGAGGTACTCCTTTTCATACAGCACGTTTCTCAGGAGGGTCAGTAACATGCATTAATTGTAAATTATCTAATATTTTATTTTTAGAGACTCATTTGAGCAACAGAGTGGTAGAGGGAGAGACAGAGATCATCCATCTGTTCCTTCACTTGGCAAATGGCCCTTGAGCTGGGCCAGGCCAAAGCCAGGAGCTCATAAGTCCATCCAAGTCTCCCCCATGGATGGCAGGGGACCAAGAACTTAAATGTGGCTTTTTTTTTTTTTTTGCCACTAGCTGTGGCTGGCTATCAGAGTTGATGGGTGAGTTTAGAAAGTGAAAGGAATGGTTGGGGAGGAGAGAAAGCTCTTTATCCTGAGTGTATTTAATGGAAGCTGAACAAACCAAATGCAGAGTACCCTTACAGCTGTATAAAATGGGAGAAGAAACAGCCCTGTCCAAAGGACTTTGGATTCCAAATGTGAATGGTGTGATGGACAGCTTTGTTTTGTAGATCTCCTGACCTCTTTGCTGAACCAAGAAAGACCTCCCTGCTCTCCCAGTTGACGTTAACATGACAATGGCTAGGCCACTCAGTGGAATGCTATGCGGAAGGCTCCTTTATGGAATTAACTGCCTCACCTTGGGGTAGTTGGTTTTTCTGAGTTGGAACCTGTTACAGCATGCTTCCAGATGGAGCTTGCCTTCTCCACCTTGGCTTCCAGTTCTGTCCTTTGCGTAATTATGTGGAGGGTCCTCCTGTTGTATTCTTCAGAGTGGATATCGTGGGGATCGAGAATTTAACTGGGGTGCTCATGAGACTCTGCTAACTTGAGGGAACCTACTTGAGCGCTGGCATGCCAAATAGCGTGGTTCGACACTGGGAGTCAGTATCTGTGTCAGTCAAGCTAGTTGGTTGTGGGATGGATTAGTTTCCTAAGTCTGGGCGATGTTGTAAATGTGCTGCTGTTCAGAAGGCTGCTGTTTTAAAGTTCGTGAAAATTACAAGGTGCTATTTTTTAAATTTAATTGTCTAAGTTTCATGTATTTCATGTATACAGATTTAGGAACATAGTGATACCTTTCCCCTACCGCCATTTCACCCATGTTCCCACCCTTCTTCCTCCTTTTGCCCATAATCCCACTCTAAATTTTTATGAAGATCTATTTTCAGTTTACTTAATGATCTTATAGTTAACTCTATACTAAGTAAAAGAGTAACAAGGGCTATACAAACAATCATCAGATCTCAGAATGTCCATTTCACTCTAATACATTGCATTTTAGGTACTCTTAGTTACCTCAGATCAGGGAAATCATTTGATATCTGTCTTTCTGGAACTGGCTTATTCCACTAAGTAATAATGGTTTCCAGTGTGTCCATCACAAGGTGCTAGTTGAATTTAAAGTTTTGTTAGTTTCTTCTCTACACTAATAATTCTATAGTACTTGATTGTAATCACCCATTCCCTATACTGCTATCTTTTTCTATTTGAAAATTTTTATTTATTTATTTGAGAGGCAGAGTAACAGAGAGAGAGGGAAGAGACAGAGAGGTCTTCCATCTACTGGTTCACTCCCCAAATGGCTGTAACAGCCAGAGCTGAGCAGATCTGAAAACAGGAGCCAGGAGCTTCTTCCAGGTTTCCCACATGGATGCAGGGGCCCAAGCACTTGGGCCATCTTCCACTGCTTTCCCAGGCCATAAGCAGAGAGCTGGATCGAAAGAGGAGCAGCTGAATAGGAAGTGGCACCACAGGCACAGGCTTAGCCCACTATGCCACAGTGCTGGCCCCGCTCTTACCTTAGTTCAGGCTGTAGTTGGCAGGTCCATCTTATCAACAGCCTAGTATTCTTTGTTTCATACGTTAAAGTTTCAGATATACAACATGCATTCTGTATTGTTTCAGTAACAGTACAAGGTTGCATATGACCTTTTATATATATTATCTGTTATAGATTTTTTTAAAAAAGATTTATTTATGTATTTGAAAGACAGAGTTAGAGAAGGAGGGACAGAGAGAGAGGTCTTTAATCTGCTGGTTAACTCCCCTCAAATGTGTGCAGTGGCCTGGACTGGGCTAGGTGGAAGCCAGGACCCAGGAGCTTTTTCTGGGTCTCCCTTGTGGTTGCAGGGGCCCAAGGCCTTGGGCCATTCTCCCCTGCTTTTTCAGGTACACTAGAAGAGAGCTGGATCAGAAGTGGAACAGACTGGGCCGGCGTCGCGGCTCAATAGGCTAACCCTCTGCCTGTGGCACTGGCACCCCGGGTTCTAGTCCTAGTTGGGGTGTCGGATTTCTATCCCGGTTGCTCCTCTTCCAGTCCAGCTCTCTGCTGTGGCCTGGGAGTGCAGTGGAGGATGGCCCAAGTGCTTGGGTGCTACACCCACATGGGAGACCAAGAGGAAGCGCCTGGCTCCTGGCTTGGGATGGGTGCAGTGTGCTGGCCACAGCGGCCATTTGGGGGGTGAACCAACGGAAGGAAGACCTTTCTGTCTGTCTCTCTCACTGTCTAAATCTGCATGTCGAAAAATAAAAAATAAGTTAAAATAATAAATAAAAATAAAGAAGTGGAATAGCCTGGACTGGAACATGAAGTTAGAGCCGTGTTACCCAGTTACACCCCAAACTAGTTAGAAGTGTTGATGTAGCACTCTTAAACCCTGGGTTGCTTGCCCACATGCAGAAACCAGTCCTGCCATCAGGTGATGGTAGAAAGTAGGTGTTTATTACAGGGCACAGAGCAAGGAGCAAGGCAGGGGCAGCTTGTGACCATTCTTTGATTGCTCCAAGATGCCCTGCTCTTTAGGGAATTTATGATGGCCAGGTGGGCTTCAGTGGGTCTGGGATTACCTGGAAGTGGTGGTTACCTTCTGCCCCAGACCTGGAATTCCCCTCAGCTCCCCTCTCCCAATAATACTGGCCAGTAGGGTGCATTGGCAGGGAGCTGGATTGAAACTGGAGCAGCCAGGACTTGAACCAGCACCCATACGGGATGCTAGCACTGCAGGTGACGGCTTTACCCATTATGCCACAGCACTGGCCCCGCCAGCACTCTTAATATTGTAGATAAAGTGACCTTAACCATGTCATGCTGTCATCCCAATGATAAGGGTCAGAGATGCCGGGGAACTCGACTGGCCGGGCTCACCATGTTGAGTCCTTTACTGACTTGTGGCCTGGGTTCCTGTGCCTGACCCCAGTCTCTGGTTGCTCATTGCCTTCTCTTGTGCTCATTTCTGTTTGTTCTGTCTTTGCATGCGGAACTCTGCACTCACTGTGTCTGCATTCTACCCACGGTGCATCAGCTCTCGGAGTAGGAAGCCTTCCTCACTTCCATGGAAGGCAAATACTTTCCTCTGGCTCTGCAAGCCATATCTGAAAAGTGCTGACACATTTTCATTTCAGAGTTTATGAGGGTGTCTTTGCATTAAGGTAAATTGAAAGCATGTAAACCAAGATCAAGAGTGGCTTGTGTTGGGGATGGCTGTCATTTCATGGTTTGTTGAGTCTCTTTCTGTATGGTTGTCCATTGAACACATTTTTCAGTTGAAGCTATTTCATTGAACATACGGAGAGGAGACGTAGCATTAAAGATGTACAAAAGCAAAACACTGAAGTCAAGCAGACCATTCACGAGGAAATAGGAGTTTTAGTTTTGTTGGTCAGCCTTTTAGATAGTCTGTTAAAATGGATCTTTTGTTTTCAGTGCATGAGCATGAAGAAGTACATATTTGTGATAATTCCATAATTTGTAAAACAATTTTTTAAGCTTTAAAACAATAACCTTGAAAAATGCAAAGTGGAACTCTGCATTATTATTATTATTTTTGACAGGCAGAGTTAGAGAAACAGAGAGAAAGGTCTTCATTCTGTTGATTCACTCCTCAAATGGCCGCTACAGCGGGCGCTATGCCCATCCAAAGCCAGGAGCCAGGTGCTTCCTCCTGGTCTCTCATGTGGGTGCAGGGCCCAAGCACTTGGGCCATCCTCCACTGCCCTCGCGGGCCACAGCAGAGAGCTGGACTGGAAGACGAGCAACCAGGACAGAACCGACATCCCAACCGGGACTTGAACCCTGAGTGCTGGTGCCGCAGGCGGAGGATTAGCCTAGTGAGCCGCTGTGCCGGCTGGTTATTTTTTTATTAAAGAGAATCCCAGCATTGTGTGGAAGAAGCAGTGCCTGAAAATCTGGCTTCCTTTTGGTCACTTGGGTTTTTCCCCCTCAAGGGTTCTGGAAAATATTTGTTGGAAGGCAATCATCTTCTTGTCTTCTCCGTTCCTCGTCATGTCAAACCCGTAATTCTTGGCTTCCTTCTTTCTGCAGTGGGTTACAGAAGAGATGAGATGTGGTCTGAAGGACGCTATGACTATGAGAGACTCCCAAGAGAACGGGTACCTCCTCGCAGTCACCCTGGCGTAAGTTACTCCCACACGTAGATTGTCTAAGTGACAGCCAAGCTAGGTGTGCTAACAATTCTTCAAGTTCCAGGAGTTTACTACTCGAGGTTAAAAATAGATCGAGCTTATTCCCTAAAATAAACCCAAAAGTTTGAAAATAAATGGCAGCATTTTATTTAAGTGGAGAATTTGTTTTGTATTTCTTGTTCAAAGTTTTGAAGTGAAGAGTTTGTGTTGAATGTAATTTGTGAAGAAAGTTTTAGGTTTTATTAGGATCGGCTCATCAGTTAAGTATTCGAGCAACCTCTTCCACCATCATCTGCCACCTGTTTACTGTAAAAATAGGCTATGTAAAAAGTTTTTTTTTATTCTAAAGAGAGGGAAAGATCATTCCTGTCTGCTGATTCAGTTCCCACGTGGGCCACAGTAGTCCTTCTCTAGGGACTCCTATGTTGGTGGCTAGGACCCAGTCACATGAGCTGTCACCTGGTGCCTCCAAGGGTTCACATTAGCAGGAGTCTGGAATTGGAGTAGAGCTGTGATTTGAACCCATAAGATGTCCCAGTTGGCGTCTTAATTGCTGCATCAAACATTGGCCCTGATTGGCTTTACTTGTCGAAAAGATGTCTGTCTCTTTACCTAGAGCATGGTCATGTTAGCATCGCCGGTTAGGGTGTGACAGGTGTGTTTTTGAGTGATCAGCGGTCTGGCCACTATGTGAGGGGCCTGGGGGCTGGAGCTCAGCTGGCTTCTGGGGTGCTGTCCTGCTGCTTGGCTCTGTGGCTCTGTGACTGAGGACTGGGAGTGTTGGGCCAGGCCTTTTTTCTAAGAAACTCGATGCTCTGCTTAAGTGTTCCCAGCACTGCTAGTGCCAAGCGTGTAGTTGGAGCTTGATTTATATGAGAAGACTTGGAAGAGTCTGTGTGTTTTGGTGCACGTGTTTTTGAAATGCATGCGTAGATTTTCTTCTGATACATTTTTTTCTGTGAACTTTCTCTATTTCCTTTTGTTTTGTTTTGTTTTTATTTTAAAGATTTATTTTACTAGAAAGTCACAGTTGCACAGAGAGGGGGGGGGGGGGGGCTTTGATCCAGTAGTTAACAGTTGGCTGCAGCGGCCGGAGCTGCACCAATCCGGAGCCAGGAGCTTCTTCCAGGTCTCCCATGTGGGTGCAGGGGCCCAAAGTCCTGGGCCATCTTCTACTGCTTTCCCAGGCCATAGCAGAGAGCTGGACAGGAAGTGGAGTGCCCACATGGGATGCTGGCGCTTCAGGCCAGGGTGTTAACCCGCTGTGCCATAGCACCGGCCCCAACTTTTTCTGTTTCCCCTAGAGTCCTTGATGGGCCTAAGAGAGTTTGGAGAATGTTGACTTCTGTGTGTACCCATTGTGAGCAGCAAGGACCTGGGTTGTGGTATTGTATACACATTGCACAGATACTTGTTTCTTTGTCAGGGTTTTTTTTTTTAACTTTTATATATATATATATATAATTTAATTCTTTTTCTAAAAAGATTTATTTGAAAGATTTACACAGGGAGAGAATGTCATCTATCCTCTGGTTCGCTCCCCAGTTGGCCACAATGGCTGGTGCTGCACCATCAATGCCGGGAGCCAGGAGCTTCTTCGAGGTCTCCCACATGGGTGCAGGGGCCCGAGGTTTTGGGCCATCTTCTACTGCTTTCTCAGGCCATAGCAGAGAGCTGGAGAGGAAGAGGAGCCTCTGGGACATGAACCAGAGTCCATATGGGATGCTGCCACTGCAGGCAGTGGCTTTACCTGCTTTGCCACAGAACTAGCCCCTATCATTTAATCTTAAAACTACTTAGAGTTCAAAGTTGGTCTGGGCTGTACAACTCAGGTTAGAGTTGATCTCAAGTGGTTTAAGATGAAAATCTGTAGAGGTCCATCATATTTCAGAGTGGGCAGACTTAATTATTACTGTCCTGCATGTCATTTCTTTCCAGTTAACTAACAGACTATATTTCTAATCATAAATTTGATTAAAACTTTCTTAAAGCTTTTTTAATATTTATTTTTTATTTACTTTAAAGGAAGAGTTACAGAAGAGGCAGAGACAGAGAGACAGAAAGATCTTTCATTCATTGAGTCACTCCCCAAATGGCGACAGTGTGGGCCAAGCCAAAGCCAGGATCCAGGAGGCTTTTCTAGGTCTCCAATGTGGATACAGGTGCCCTGGCACTTGGCCATCCTCCATCATTTTTCCATGCACCTTAGGGAGCTAGATCAGAAGTGGAGCAGCCAGGACTTGAACTAGTGCCCATATAGGATCCTAGCATTGCAGGTGGCAGCTTTACTCACCATGCCACAACAGCCCTTAAATTAATATTCTGGGGCCGGCACTGTGGTGTAGTGGGTAAAGCCACCCCCTGAAGTGCCAGCATCCCATATAGGTGCTGGTTTGAGTCCTGGCTTCTCCACTTTTAATCTAGCTCTCAGCTATGGCCTGAGAAAGCAGTAGAAGATAGCCCAAGTCCTTGGGCCCCCTGCACCACATGGGAGAGCAGGAGGAAGTGCATGGCTCCTGGCTTCGGATAGGCACAGTTCCAGCCATTGTGGCCATCTGGAGAGTGAACCAGCGGATAGAGGACCTTTCTGCCTCTGCCTCTGCCTCTCTGTAACTCTGCCTTTCAAATAAATAAATAAATCTTTAAACAGAAATTAATATTCTAGGATATCTCCTCCATTTCCCCAGTACCACCCCCATCCTCACCTAGGACAGTACCCCATTAGGAATTTTGAATATTGCATTTCACAGATACTTAAAACAATTTTCTGGGACCAGAGCTAAGGTGTAGTGGGTAAGCCACCATCTGTGCTGCTGGAATCCCATAAGGGCACCTGTTCAAGTCCTGACGGCTATACTTTTGACCCAGCTCTCTGTTATGGCCCTTGGGCCTCTGCACCTGCATAGGAGACCCGGAAGAAGCTCCTGGCTTTGGATTAGCGCAGCTCTAGCCGTTGTGGCCAGCTGAGGAGTCAGGTTCACTCCCCAAATAGCTACAACAGCCAGGACTGGACCATGTGAAAGGTCAGAGCCAGGAAGTTCATCCTGGTCTTCCACATGTGTAGCTGTGTCTCAAGTACTTGGGCCATCATCTGCTGCCTTCACAAGTGCATTGACAGGGAGTTGGATTGGAAGCAAAGCAGCCAGGACTCAAGCTTGGCACTTCATTGGGATGACAGCATCCTAAGAAGTGACTTAACCCACTGCACCACAGTGCCAGCCTATTTAGATGGAGGTTGAAATTGCTGATGATGGCAGTTGAGGTAACCATGACGGATGGTGGCAGGTGATGGAAAGTCAATGAATGAGCCTGTTGTAAAAACTGATCAGTTCCATTTCTTTTCATTGCCACTTGTGTGTCTGTGGTGATGTGCAATGGGTTTTTTCTGTTGTGCCCTCAGCTCTCAGAACCTGCGTTGCTTTCCCCTATTATGGACTCAGAACTTGTGCATACTTTGTGCTGCTTCATGTCTCTTGATTCCATTAGATTTTTCTTCATTCATCCTAGCCAGTCCTTGGCAGTTTTTTAATCTCTTGTCTCCCAGTGTCCCTCATTCCTGAGAAACACTCATTTTTTTTCTTATGAGCTTGACCTGGTCTTATTGGTGAATGATTGAAAACCTCCTTTTTCCCTCCCATGGCTCTTGGCAGTGACCCCTCTGTCTCTTGTACCCACATTTCTTTCAGTGGTATTTAAAGACGACCTCTTAGATTTGAATATGATTATGGAGGCTTTCCAAACCAGGTTGTGATACAGTTGGGTGTACTATTTTAGTATTGCGTTAAATATCAAGAACACATGGTGGAGATTTCATTGCTAGAAAAAGGCATGGCAAGTGTGGACAGATAGAGAGTTTGAGGTATCTGCAGCAGCTGTGACATAAATATCTGCTTTTTGTTGGTGACAAAGTCAAACATCCTGCTATTAATGTTGTGTATTGTTGCCTACCTTTATGTGAAACAAGTAACTGTCTATTCATATCTGAGTCAGATGAATCTACTGAATCCTTGAAACTGATACTAGATCAGGAAATGTAAATAAAGTTAAAGTTTCTGGCACTGATCTGCTAAAAACAGCTTATTAAAAGTTTTAAAATCTGTACTTGCACAGCTGAGATCATCTCTTATTAGTTAATAACCCATTTTGGCACCTCATGCTAACATGCCTCCCAGTGAGCTTCCAGCTAGTGTCCATCTGATGCCCAATGGTTTCGAGAGGAATGCATAGTGAGACAAGGTGGACTCCTGCCAGCTCCCACAGCATGGCTGAGCTCACTAACACAATGATGAAAGAAAGAAGCTGGACACAAAAGGTTTTTTCTGTATATTATCTTTTATATAAAGTTCCAAAATAGACCATACTAGCTAGGAAAGTGTCAGTTGGAGGAGGAAGCAGGGACTGGGAGAGAGATCTCGGGGATAGGACCCAAGTCTAAACAAAAACACTCAATTGTGTTTCCTATAAACTTTATATATATGGCCTTAAGGCATTTTCTAGTACATTTGTATTGTTTCTGCTCTTTGACTACAATATGCCACATGAGATCAAGTGTAGAATTCTCCTTTTGTGATATCAAGTCAGTACTCAGAGAACTGGGTGCCCAGAAGCCGTGGGGACTTGAAACAGAAATGCCGGTATTTTATTGAAGAGTAAGTGAGTGATTTAACTTAGTAAGAGCTGCCACAGACATGCCTGTCATCTAGGAGGGATGAGAGTGAGGAAGTTAACAAAGCATAGGAAAGCAAGTCTGCCAGCTGTGTCGTGGAGTTGGTTAGTTCACAGTGCCTTGTGCAAAGCTTGTGACGCCAAGTGTCTTCTGTGAACAGCACAGTTGCATGCCTGTTGTGTGGTTGCTTACTGTGCGGCAGCGGGACATGGAGTCAGGGTGTGGGTCCACCAGGGTTCGGTAAGCTCACGGCTGTGTTGTGTTGTGAAGGGAAGTAACCATTAACTGCATGTGTGGCAGGCAGGTGAGTGTGTTTCAGCTGTCT